CATTACGCATTTACCTTGAATTATATCAGGGAGGGAGTTCACATAGATATTGAAAAGTAAAGGCCTTAGTATTGAACCTGTCTCTTATACACATCTTGGGTGGTCAGAAAGATATAATTAGTTTTCTGTTTTGATCAAAGTTTTGAAATTTTTCATTTAATTCTATTTTAATTTGGTTTGGAAGTTCGTTCCAAGCCTTAGTTGCACGGTATAAGAATGTTCTCTTGCCTTGAGTGAGTTTCCATTTTATCTCCATCAAGGTGTTGTTATATTTATTCCTAGTGCACTGAGAGTGGCTATTTTGATTAAAAAATGAATTTGTTACATAGGTAGGATGGGGCAATTCCTTTCAGGCACTTGAAAGTGAGTAAAAATAGGTGTTCCTTCCACCTATCATTTAACCTATTCCATCCTAAATCATCCATTAAATCCTTGATGACTGAAAGAATAATTTTTCCTAACCTATTCTGGAGAATTTGGAGTTCATTTAAAAGATTAGTTGTAGTGAATGCAACTACAATAATGAAATAAAGGCATTACAAGTGCATATTCTAACATTTTAGTTGTGTTGAAAGGTAGGAACTATTTGACACGGCGAATGACACCAATTCTTTTAGAAACTTTTGAAGAAATATTTTCCATATGTGTAGCCCAAGTTAAATTGGAGTCAAAGTACACGCCAAGATGTTTAAAACAATCTACTTTTTCAATGTTAATGTTCCCATGGATAAGAGAAATATTAGAAAATTTAGGAAGCGCATGGGATGTTCCAAATATCATAAATTTAGTTTTTGTATATTTAAAGTCAATTTATTTTTATTGAACCACTGACTAATATAATTAAGGTTTGCTTGAAGTTCATTTTGAAGTTCAGTGGGATTAGAGGAGCTGCAGAGAATTGTTGTGTCATCTGCGTACATTACGCATTTACCTTTAATTATATCAGGGAGGGAGTTCACATAGATATTGAAAAGTAAAGGCCCTAGTATTGAACCCTGGGATATTCCAATATCAATGTCCATAGCATCTGAGCGTGTTGAGTTGATTTGGACTATTTGTGATCTACAAGATAAATAAGATTTAAACCATTTTAAAGACATAGAATAAAGACCAAATTGGTGCAACTTGTTAATGAGTAGTTGGTGATTCACCGTGTCAAAAGCGTTTTTTTAGTCAACAAATATAGCAGCAGTCACTCTACCTTCATTAATATTATCTAAAATGTAATCGGAAACATCAATAAATGTTGTAGCAGTAGAATGGTTTTTACATAAACCTGATTGAGCATTGTTTAAAAAGTTATTAGTCATAAGATAACCATGCAATTGTTCATAAACAGCTCTTTCAATGATTTTACTGATTAACGGCAATACTTTAAATGGCAATAACCTCATTTACGACGAAAATCACCAAACATCCATTCATCGTATCTTACGGATGATAACATATGATGACAGTAGCTTCATAAATACTTTTACAATGATATGGAGATAATAATAATAATAATAATAATAATAATAATAATAATAATAACAATTGTTAATTTATATTGCGCATAATGTCAAATACCTTTATGCGCTTTACAGCATGGTGTGGCAAAAATTATTAAAATTTCAACAACAAAAATAATGACTAACAATAATGAATAACAACAATAAAAAATAAGTATATAATGTTAATAAATAAATAATTTGAAAATACAGAATTGTATTTACTTTAAAAAAAAAATTGTTAAATATTTATTTCCTTAGTCGTATTTCCTTACTTACCTTTTATTCTTTTTTTTTCATTCCTTTTTTTATTTTCTTTCTTTGAGATCATCAATATTTACTGACTCTTACCTTTTAATCATACGAAGGGTTTTTGTTTTGTTTTGTTGCAGGGTGGTTAACAATAACAATTTTTTAGACCTAAACAAAGGTGTATGTGATTCACAACACTTTAAAAAATTCAACCTTATGTGTACATTACTGAAACTATAAATATAATGTAAAAAGTATGTCAGATTTATAATGACGTAGGGTTAAGGTTTTAAAATCTGTGGGGAAATACATTAAATTAAATCACTGAATTTCTCATTAAAATAACTATGCAATGAGATTATCCAGTCGATTCAATTAACACTAATTTACAAACTTCGTACTGTGTAGTAAAACAAGTCTTTACTTTCTGCCTGTTAGTTCAAATGCATGCACAAATAATGCAAAAACAATGTTATTTATGCCTCTGATTTGGCTAAAAACATTGTTTTGTAAGTTTTAATATCGAATGCTAGCTTTAATCAAATTCAACTAGAGTATTAGCCTAACAAAACCACATTTCATGTATGAATAAATGCATTAACTACTGATATTTTACTTGTTTTATAGGAGCATGTTCCCGTCAAACTTGGTAGAAGCCACTTTCAGATCTGTGAGTTATTCTATTTACTGGTATCTTTATAATGACAAAATGGATGGTGAATATAAGAGTTACCTGTTACTGTAAAATGCCCTTTTATAGATTCATAGTTTTGAAAAACAAAAACAAAAAAAAATTATAAAAAATGGCTTGGTTATTTCTTGATATTCATTCACTTTTATTTCAGATTTTCTTTTAAATCAAATTGTTGATGATTTATTTATTTGGTACAAACACCTCACACCAAACCCAAAGGCAATACTGCGAGTTTACAGAGCAACAATCATGAAAACACGAAATCATGAAAACAATAATCACAAAAACTCCTACGAATTACAGAAACGTTCAGGGAAGACGTACATCATAAGGGAAATGCGAACACATTTCGCCTCCATTCAATGATTGTTCCATACACGAAAATCAAAACGTTATTGGCTAATAATATATTCTTATCATTTTGCTAAATTACTATTACAGTAAGTTTAGCTAGATTAAACCATGAGTTGGTACCTGGTGGGTCAAATGCAAATGCACTGAACATGCAATAATAGCATAAGTCCTCCAGGCAGAATTGAATTTAATTTATCTGATTTCTCTGTATATAACATAAAATCGATAGTAAAACAAGTTATTTAAAACAAATAAAAACACTATAAATTATACAAGATACAATAAGAGAAAACCTGGATAACCCATTAAACTGTAAAGTTTGTTTCCGACAAGGTCCACAACAAACATATTAAAACAGGTAAGGAATGTCAAAAATAAGCATTAACAATTTTTAACAGTATTTTAAATAGAACAATCAATTATATTTTTTAAATACTTTTAAAAGGCAAGAACGAATTAATGAAAAACAATTAACGGTCTGATTAACAAAAAGAAACAATTTACGTTTTAATAATACTGTAGGTCTTTAAAAATGTTAAAAGTGATATTTAGTTGGAGCTGTGTGGCGCGTTGCTTAATATTTAATAAGCGAAGTGATTTAAAATCTGATTTTAAAATAGGATAATAGGGACCTTGTTTAAAATAAACCTAATAACTTTAGCACCCCTACTAGGGATGGATACGTGCGCCTAACAAAATGACATTATTATTATTATTATTATTATTATTATTATTATTATTATTATTATTATTATTATTATTATTATTATTATGTTGTGCACTCTTTGAAGTTTAGTACAATTTAAACTCGTTAAACCATTACACCAAAAAGAAATGCAATATTCAATAATGCTAAAAACCAATGATGAACAGATTATTATGATTTTTTGGTGTTTTTGTGAAGAGTTTATGCTTGACGATACTTAAACTTTAAGCGTATACATTTTAACTTTTTAAAGAAGGTTTTCGACGATTACTTCGTTGTTTAAATAACAGTAAATTTCAACTCCCATGTAAGTGACAGACTGTAGTTTGTATATTTTGACCTAAACATGAAATTTTGAAATTTTTAACATTATTAAGCATTTTATTCAAACCGCAAAGAATTAATTCTGTATTTCCCATATGCAGAGAAAGATTGTTATCGACAAGCCATTCGTTTCAATTGTTAATGTTTCTAGTTAAGACTGTTTCACCCGCGTAGGATCATGATCTGAATAATAAAGTGCTCTATCATTATCATATTGGATTAAACTGCAATGAGGCAGGCAAATCATTTATATAACACACAAAGAATACTACCTTGGGGTATCCCATATGATATATCATTATGTTCAGAGAACGATACTTTTTGCACCATATTTGCAAGGTAAGATTTAAACCATGTTATTGATTTAACGCCCAGGGGATCCAATAAGTGAATAATATTAGGAAGCGCATTATAGAAGTCTGTGCAGGCAAAATGCGCCAAAATATATAAGCATGAATATTATCAATATGTTAATCCATATCTCTTGGTTATTTCAAGTACAAAACTGATGTTCAAGAAGAACCAATAGAAGTATTAAGCTCTGAAGATCTCTCAAACGTGATGCTCAATTCTGGTGTTTCTATTGCATCTTCACTCGTCGCCATCAATGGCAGTTTGTTAATTCTTGGCAACAAGATGGTACTGTTCAATAGCAGTCGTCTGTCTAATTCTGAAGTAAAAAGTGATATGGCACTATTTCTACAAGAGGTCGACTCGAGTTTAGTGATGATAGACAACGTTCAGAAAGACCTGTCCCCATCAACAACCGCACTGAAGTTACTAATTAGCCATACGTCAGCAAAGAGTTCATTGCTGCAGATTCAGGTAGATAGACTGACAACTGATCCTGTGAGCGAGTCTGAGATGGATATGCTGAGCAATGAAACAACTAGCTTATCAACGATGTTGACATCAACTACGTGCGAGATGGTTAGATTGGTTGGCATGTCGGCTGCCTCTGCAGAAACCGTGGAAGAAGCTGCTCTTGCTATGAGTTCAGCACTCAGTGGAATCAACCAAATGTTTTTTATGATCGACTACAACAAGATCAACCAGATCATGATAGATATGAATGATCTCAGTGGAGAGTTGATTGACGCTATCAGAAAAAGCGATACAAACTCCTCCTTCGTTGAAATAAATTCAATCATGACTATCATGATGAATATGACGGTGACGTCAATGCACATCCTAGACATCAAGAGCACTCTAAACCTAAATGACATAACAATGAGTCTAATGCGCATGACTGTAGATGTACTGTATTCAATGGACACAAAAAAATTGAACAGTTATGAGATCGTGACAGAGATGAATTACATTTTAAAGAGAATGAACACCATTATGGTTGAACTTTCAACACTTAGCGCTGCACCTTTAACCGGTGATTTAGATGAGCTTAACCAAATCGCATCTCTTGCAAAAGAGATTCATAAACTTTCCGAGATGATGGCAATAATCGTAACTACTGGAATGGATTATGTCATTTTCCACCGCTCTAACGCCACAGTAACAACTGTTTATGTAGGTGTTATGTCTGACAGTATAAACGTCTTAGGGATAGTGGTCTTTGCCATTGCATTTGGTGTATCTGTTGCACGTGTTGGAGAAGATGGACGTGTGGTTATACAGTTTTTCAGTGCCACGAATGAAGCAATTATGAAATTAGTGACGGTGATTATGTGGTATGTTACCATGTTAACAACAATCACACAGAGTATAACTCTGGACTTTTAAATAAACAATTTACTGTGTTTTATTTGGTCAAACATCAGTTCTGTATTCCATGTGAAGCGCCTGCAAATTGATCCTCTAAAAAATGCCTTTATGTCGGCAGAAAAAGTAAATCCAGAAACATGGATGATGCAGATTGTTTTTAAACAATAATCCAATGAGACTGTCACTGACAGTCAGCAGATTGGCATTGCATTGAGCACAGATGGATTCGTTGTCAAATCATCGCAGTGTGCGCCAGGCTTTATAACGAACCTCTTGTGGCACGACACATGGAATCAGTGTATGATTATTATCATCAACTGGAGAAGCACACCTTACCGGTGACAGCGTTTTTTTATGCTTTTGCTTCTCTTCGACTTTTATGTATTTGTTTAGATTCTGTATATTGTTTTTTGTTGCAGAATTAAGAAATTAAAAAAAAATGAAAATCGTCACTCACATCGTCAACAACCTCTTGTCGCCATCACCATCACCATAATATGATATTATAATTATCACATAATCTTATCGTAATCATCACCATCATCATCAACTCATCATTGTAGTGAATTTACTATTTTGTCATGTTAATCCCTTTAAATCTTTTACTCTTTCTTCCAATGAACATCTACACTCTCATCGTGTCGTCATCACCATCACCATGATATAATTATCACATTACCATTATCGTCATCATCACCATCATCATCAACTCATCATTATTGTCATTATACTATTTTGCCATTTTAATCACCTTTACTCTTTCACTTTTATTTCCAACTTTAGGTATGCTCCAATTGGCATCTTTTTCTTAATAACAGGAAGTATGATTGAAGTTAAAGACTGGGAAGAGATGTTCACAAAACTTGCAGCATACATAGCAACAGTTGTAACTGGCCTAGCCATACACGGATTCATAATTCTACCTCTATTGTACTTTGCATTCACACGGAAAAATCCTTACAGATTCCTTATAAACGTTTCTTCAGCTTTTGTAACAGCTCTCGGAACAGCATCAAGGTAACGTTCTTTGCTTAAAATCTGATGAAAACCTTTGCGTAATTAATGTGCATTTGTAAGTAACTGCACTTATATATATATCAAAAAAAGAGAAACAAATTTGTCCATATAAAAAAAATTAATTCCTGTCGAGCCACCAGGGCTCAGAGGGCTGGGGTTTACCCCCAGTTTCTGTAGTGTGAAGCAAAGAAGAGTGTAATACTCCCCCTGGGTGGGACACTAGTTCATCGTAGCTTACTCCCAGCAATTTTCTGTTACCCACTTATACAACTGGGTAGACTGAAGCAATGTGATCTATATATATCCACATAAAATATTGTTACTCTTTTTACACAGTTCTGCAACGTTGCCTGTAACAATACGATGTCTCGAAGACAAGAACAGCATCAACAAACAAATAACTCGCTTCATGCTTCCCATTGGCGCAACCGTCAATATGGACGGTACGGCGCTGTATGAGGCAGTTGCTGCAATTTTCATCGCACAAATGAATGGTATTCCACTAAATGTTGGACAAGTAATCACCATCAGTCTGACGTCTACGTTTACCAGTATTGGAGCTGCCGGGATTCCTGATGCCGGTTTGGTGACCATGGTGACTGTTCTCACAGCTGTTAACCTACCGACCAACGGCATTGCTCTGATTTTGGCTGTTGATTTCATTGTGTAAGTATGGTTTAGTCCATTTACTTTATGTAAGGGATTTGGATTAGTCTTTGGCATTGTTATAGTGCTACCTGTAGTTCTGTATGGCCCCGTATTTTTACATCAGAGATCAGTTGTATTGAAACACTGTTAATGAAGTTTTGAAAATTGAAATCTTTAACAATAATTACATTCATTATTCACAAATATTAATTACTCAGGGATCGTCTTCGAACAGTGGTCAATGTTGAGGGCGATTCAATTGGTGCAGGAATTGTTGACCACTTGACACAAGCCAATGAAAGCTCTGCAGTACATAGCAATAAAGATTTTGAGGAGATTGAACTACAAACAGGTGATGAAGTCAATGAAAGTGCAGTCCATCACGTATTGCTCTCGCAATAATAAGGAGAGCAATTGTGCCGGTGACAAGGGGAAACAGTCGGAAGTCGCGTTGGCCGTTTTGAGATACATTATAGGCCAAAACAATAGCACAGGTCAATATTTTCACAAATCGAGTTTTCAACAGAATCATGTAGACTGTTTAAATATTATATAATTGAATTCACGCAACAGTTTTTTTAAATTATTATTATTATTTATCTTAAGATGCCCAAAATCATTTTAGAGAGCCGCTTTAACCAGGAAGTATGAAAAATTACATTTTGTTTACATTATAAAACACTCGCGAAATCATCCTTATTACCCACCACGTTTTAAAGCCAGTCATATCGTGTTTAATATCATTATAAAGCTAATTATATAAGCTCGACTATGGTTGGTAGACTTTATTTTCACTAATTAAAACCAGGTTCTTTCATATATACAAACCCAAGTTCTCCTTGACACTGACTATGAGAACGGCCCGCTGATTAGTTGATTTGATAATTTCGTAATTTTATTACTCATTGCGCATGCTCTGTGGAAGCTTGAACACTTCCTCTTTTTTCATAAAATTTCGGTTTAATAATAATTCAAATTTAAATATAACAGCAAGTATAGCTTAAAATTATTATTGAATGTGTTTTTTGAACGAATTACATTGAACTATTGAGTTAACTATACGAAAAAAAAGAACGTCTTTCTGTTGGATGTGTTCTCATAACCATATAGAGTACTACATACGGTTATGAGAGCACATATGCAACAGAAATGTGTTCTCATAACCATATAGAGTACTACAGTATTACGTCACGATACCGCGTGATACTACTCTGTTGCTATCGTTGCAAAAGGAGTTCAACCGGGTGCCATTTTCTGCACTGACAAACCATTGATCCCAATTTCTAACGTAATTATTAAAGATGATTGTATCTTACTTTTTCTTTGTAAATTTTAATTGATGATCAAATGTGTGACCGATAACTAATATAATGCGAGCATTTGTTTTTAGTACATTTTGATGGTAAAATATTACATTTTAAAATGCCTATTCCAGAAAGCCTATGAAGTCATTTAGGCGTATAGATAGGTAACCAACGTCTATTGACGACAGAGAACGCCACCTGGCGTTGTGACGACACGACTGTGTCTTATAGATATATGGTACTCTATAACATTTCTGATATTCTATATAGCGCCCTCTTTTGTTATTACGCACCAAATGTCTTACAAGTACCATCTTTGTTATGCGCGGGAGGCAAATTTTTTTATCGTAGGTAAGTTGAGCCAAAAATAAAGAATTATTCATTTAGAATGGCTGCAGGCAATACTAGCGCATGCGCAATCTGTTTTCGCTGGGCTTGCTCGCTGTAGCTTTTTCACGTCACAGTGAACGAAAGTTGGATTATCGCTCCATGGGATTCACTCTGTGTGGGGTGGTGATGTTTGCTGTAATACCTCCGTGGTTTATGCTGTAATAAATACTAAGCAAACTTACATTAGAATACAATAAACAACAGGACAAATAAATGGGGCCTAGCATAGGCCATATTGTATACTACATCTAGCTTGGTCCTGCTCTGCCTCCCTAGCCTATTACACTACACTATGTCAACAGAGTATTTAGTACAGCATTTTTTGAAGGCCAAAGCAATCTAAACTTATTATTATTCTTATGATATGTATTAATTTGTTTTTAAAATATTGTGTAGTCTAATGATTACATTAATGTTTTAAAAAAAAGTTATTATTCATATACAAAAAAATAAAGGATCACCAGGCATGGAACACGTCGCGGGCGGCTACGGGTACAGTCACCTAATTCAAAATGAAAAAAAATACAGAACAAAACTAAATAGAGTCTGTAACTCCCTTTCTGGGTGCTCCCATTGTCATGAGTCTGGCCTTTCTGGCACCCAGCCTTCACACATTGTCATATATACTGTGCAATTGTTACTATTTGATGTTCCAAAATAATTCGTTATAAAGTTTGAATTGATACTTATGTATTTTTGCATACAGTACTTTGTTTCCTGATGATGACATAATTAATGTCGAAATATTGAATCCCAACACGATGGCGTGTATTTCAATACTTGGAGTATGTATTATACTTTCGTAATTTATTGTAGGGTCAGCATTTTAGTTGATTTTATGTTAGCGTAGTGCTGAACTATAGATTTCTAAACTTTATTTTCGTCATTGATTAAATGACAATATCATGCAATGCAGTGTAAGCGTTTTCGTTTTTGAGCGGTGTGTCTGTTTATATAAAACCATCTCTTTATTGAGGCACGATAAAGGAAGAGACATGTAAGCAGTTATCACAAGCCTGTTTTGTTTTTTTGTTTTTTTGTTTTTTTTTGGTTGCGGTCGGTTAAGACTGCAGCAAAGTATACTGTAGTAGGTTTCAACGAAGCCAGATTGCGCATGCGCTAGTAATGCCTGCAGCCGCTCTAATAAATAATTCATACATTTTTGCTTAACTTACCTACGATAAAGAAATTCGCGCACAGCATGTTTTAACTTTGATAAGGTCACTTGGTGACATGAGTGCGAATATTTTTTTTCTTTGGATTGATGTACGACGACTTGATATTATACACGTGTGATTGAATAAAGTTATAGTTGACTATTGATAACTGTGTATGATTCAGTGTGTTTCTGAAAACATCCGTCATTCTAGAAAACAACCCAACAGAAAATATGAACGTAACAGGTTATGGGCCCAGGCGTGATTCGGATCAGTTCCGAGCAGTGTTAGGCCTAGGCATAGTCTAGCTAGTAGTTCCATTTAAACTGTAATATTTTACAATTCATTTTTTTTATAAATATGATCATCACTAATAATCCTTATTACGACCTGGACATTTAAAATAATAAACAACAGTGTTCCTATATTCCTTAGGGGTTTGATCTTTAGTAGATATAAAATGAGAGACATTTTTTGTACTGCCATAATGTTATGAATTTTCCTCCTTAACTAAGTGTTTCTTTACTTTGTTTAAGCATCTACGTAAAATGGATTCACCTGCCTTTCCTAGGTAATGCAATCAAATCCAAAAGCTATCATCAGTGAGTCTATGTATACATTTAGGTTCATTTAATTTATTGAGTACATGGTTAACAACTTTTAAAGGGTACCCATTCCATGACATAAATTTTAAAATGTTAGAAAGTACTGATTGAAGTTTATCGGGAGTACACAGTTTGTAGGCTCTTAAAACTAAACTACGAATTCAAGAAATCTTATGGTTCCAAGGGGCAAAGTTATCATTATGGATATATTGACCTGTATGTGTATTTTTACGATATATAGTCATGCTTCCTAATAATAGCAACATTGTAATACATTACAGTATAATTATAAAAATAATATTAAGACTAATGATAATAATATTAATGATTATAATATTTATATTAATAATACGTTAATAGCAATGATAACAATAATATACAAATATTACACTAATAATAAAATAATAATAATAATAATAACAATAATAATAATAATTATTATTATTATAGTAATAATTAAAAGAGTGGTAATAGATGTAATTTTAGTATGAAAAAAGGGTATCTGTGCTTAACAAATATTTGGCCTATACAATAACAATAATATAATACATATAATCATAGTTACCAACCGTCTCGCCTCGTGAGGGACGGTCCTGCATTTCAAAGTGATTTTGGATGAAGCACGCATTTTGCAGAAACACATGCGTGATCCTAAATTTGTCACGCATTTAAGTCTATGCGTGATAACGATTTATCACAAATTCAGGGGAAAATGTATTTAAAATTTTAAGAAATTGGTTGTATTAAAACTATAAAAAGTGGTGCAGTAACTTGAGTCATTAGAGATTACAGTATTTCCTTGAAGGCCCTACTAATTTCAATAACAAGTTACAAAAAATTGATTAGTAAGGTCTACATATTAGTGTAGGTCTACATAGTTCGGGTGCTTAAATTAAACATAGGCCTACATTGAATCTCAAAATTGGATTTATTAATAAAGCCAATTAAAATTTTTAATTAAAATATTTTTGCTTGTGTACCTGTATCAACAAACAATCCCTGAAACCGTTTTAAAACATAATAAATGTAAACTAGGCCTATAATTTCATTTAATGGGGCCCCGACAGTTCAGTGGCGGATCTAAGGGCGGGGGGAGGTGGGGAGAGAGTAGGGTGGCTAGCCACCCCCCTTCGGTGACATCGAACAAAAAAATACAGTCACTCGTCTTGCGTGTGCGTGCTTCTCATGTATACAGTACATGTTACATGTCTATAGGCTACTCCATATCGTAAAACATACAACTTCTATTTTAAGCTTAACTTCTTTTCAGATGTAATCCAAGAGCGTCTAGCCGTGTACTAATTCCAAAAAATCTCAAATGGAAGGGGATGCCTTTCCCTAAACCCATGATCAAGGAGGGACAGGGGGACACGTCCCCAAATACTGTTAAGGTGGCGGGGATGGTCCCTCACTTTTCGTCCACAATGTAATAATTTCATAAGTCAAGAAGATGCCTGAAAATTGTTGAAATGAACTGCATAAATGACACAATTTTTTAAGGAAAGTTTGCATACAACCGGTACTCTATCTCTGCCCACAAACATCTGAATTACATATAATACACGACTCTTGTGCGCGTGCCTTTATTGTAATTTAAGAAGTATGAGAAAAGTGTGTAAAAATACTATAATAATTAGATTGTTTTTCGGCACATGGTAAAGTAAATTAAATATACATCAAAGACAATTGAGTTTTATTTTCAGTGGAACATCACAGCGAATTATTTGATCGATGATGATGAGTGTCATTTCCCGTAATCTAGAGGTAGGCTATTTCCCCAAATGTCCCCACCTCAGCCCTTGTGTGGACTAATGGCTTTAAAGTAGGTAGGCCTATTAAATTAAGTACCTCAAAGACAATGTTTTTAATATTTATTTTCTATAGTACATCACACATATTAATTGGTTGCCGAAATTAGCTGGTAAAACATGAGAAATTTGTTGGCGCTTCATTTTTACCATATAGGCCTAAAGGTGATGTGATGACGATATTTTTACTATAATTTTACTATATAAAAGTGTCATTTCCGGTCATCTAGAGCTACATTTCCTAAAATGTTCCCACCTCAGGGTGTGGGCTCACGAAAGGTCCCCCTCACCTTTCGAAACAAATCTGTGCCCTAGTCAAAACCAACGATGCTGCAGTTTTTTGTTTATGTTGCGGTTTGTCTTGCGAACCGCAATTGATCGATGTCGCGCGTGAAACAAGGGTGCTCTATTTTGATTTACCGACAGTGGTTTGGAAATGTTTTGGCCTGTCATATTCCTTATCATGTTTTTGTACGTTTCTCTGTATATATGATATTCTCTGTATAAATATACATTACATAGAGTACATAGGCCTACTGTAGGCCTATACCAGTTTCGAAAGTTGGCCTATGTAATCTACGTTGGTTTTGTCATAAAATTATGTGAAAGATTTCATCAGTCTTGGACCATTCTATGTTCTCCGACAACGGAGTTAACAGCTCTGAGCGCGGGGCCCACACCTTGACACCCTGGACCCCGACCGAGACCCTACGGGGCCCAGGCTCCCAGTGTCTGTTTGTTAGCTCCGCACTCAAACTTAACGTACCGTAACCTCTTAATTCAGTAAAACTAGCTATAGAATGCATTGCATATTATTTGCAAGCTCTTCAAGCACTTTAATAACTGTGGTACGAAGTTTGTTGGAAATTATCAGCTCCTGTGATAGGAGATGGATCCTTTATAAACAATATGTTATCTGTAGGAATAGAGATGTAAAGGACGAAAGGATTTTAGGTCCCTAACAACACCCAGATGAATAAAAATTTTAATGGAATAGAAATCCATTTATAAGGTGCTCCAAATTCTAATTTGTCAGAGCTTCCGGGACTTCGCTAACCCCCGCAGGGTACTAGCCACCCCCCCCCCCCAAACCTAAGTTTCATTTTTACGTTTCACTCGCAAAATGCACCTCCAAGCCTGGCTTGTTAGGGCCCCCAATAACAATCAGCACCAGGGCTCCACAAACTCCGTGGTAAACAGTTATATTAATGAAACGAACAAAATATAACTGTTTTATATTAAAGAAATGTTTAGAGCCTATAAAGTGCTAAATAAAGGTGCAAATCTATTTTAATACAGAAAGAGATTGTGGGTTCCTGATCACGGAAATGGAAACTATTTAACAAGCTCAAACATAAAATATTGTATAACATTACTGGAAAAGAATTACATATACATGGAGAATTATCAATGATAACGCATGTTCAAGGTGTATCGTTGTTGAAGATGATGCACATATTTTTATTAATATACAAAAGCATACGATTTATGGAATTATAATAATAATTTTAGCATAAATAAATGGTATTGAAGAGCATTTTGAAAATATTGTCCTTAGTACAGAAAAGGTTTGCATTGACCATCTGTTTGCATTAGGAACGTTTTGTATTTAAAAAGTAAACGTCCTAAAGCAGCCAAACAAATAAAGTTGCCAAGGGGCCAGGGGGCCATTGGCCCACCCACTTTTTCTACTGGGGTCTGGCCCCCACTTTTGTGATCCCAGCACCAGTGACAAACATTTTACGAACGCTGCATTATTATTATTATTATTATTATTATTATTATTATTATTATTATTATTATTATTATTATTATTATTATTATTATTACGCTCTAGTTTTCTTCAAGCTAACTACGAAGAAGTATAATAAGTGTAACTGATTAGCTAAGGATAAACCTTCAAACTAGCGTAATATAACCACATTTAAACTCCATCTAAACGAAAACAATAAGATACATAATTAAGTCATTTTTTAAGTAAAGTTCTCTGAAGGTTAAATACAGAATTTACAGTACACTGTAATTAATGTGTTATAGGTTGCAAAAAATGTATTGATTAAAAAAAATCTTTCGAATAAAATTAGGAATTATTCACTTGTAAAACAAAATGATAGGCTATGTCAAGTGTTATATTGAACAGTGGCAGATTCAAGGGGGAGTCCAGTGTTATATTGAACAGTGGCAGATTCAAGGGGGAACCCAGACAGGCCGGGCTCGGAGCCTTCCAACAGTACGGTACTAGGCAATATAGGGCTAGGCTATACCTGATCGTGAGTGACAGGCGTACACGTTACGTTCACCATCCTTGTATCTAGGCCTACTGAATCCATGTCAAACTGTTGATAGTTAAAATATTGATACTCTAGATTTACTGTTTGATTGGTATTTTTAAATAGAATATAGCGCTCGAGCATATTTGCAAAATATTAAACAATCGTCGCGATGTAGGCCTACCTAGGCCTAGTCCTCATTTACTTTTTCTGTATAACATTTAGGAAGGGGAACCCAGGCAGCACGGGCCCCCAACCTCCTATTTTTTTTTTCAAAATTATAATATAAATGGAGAAAACAAACAAAATTGTATTCAACTTTTAATCTGAGAGTGCCATTTCCGGCCATAGGTGCTATAATCATATTTTTTCTTATCTCAGCCCCAATAGTTGTGAAGCTGAGGATTCTATTTGTGCAAGACCATCCCACTGGGTCCTGGGTCCCCTCTATTTCGACTTACTGAACCTGCCACAGTTGGAGTATCATTTCGGGCTACTATAGAAGTAGCCCGAAATATAGTAGTATATACTACTATAAATATAGTAGTACTATAGAAGTAATTTTTATCCATCGGGGGAAAAGCGAAGGTTTAATCTGGGGATACCCATATCAAGGATAACCCCCATATGATAAATAATTCATTTAAATCGTGGAAGTAATCTCGACTTTGACTTTGTTCGGAAATCTGTAGTGCAGATGGGGAGGGGTGGGGGGTGGCTAAATTGTAAATTTTTTTTTAATGGAGATATAAGGAAAATTATATTCAAATTTTAAGCCTGAGAGTGTAATTTCCGGCCATCTAGAGGTGCCATAATCACATATTTTCTTTACCTCAGCCCCAACCATCGCGGGGCTGCGGTGGTATAGATTCTCCTTCTGCTGAAGTAGGCCTACCCAGTGGCGGATTTAAGGGGACACAGCTACCCACCCCCCACCTCAAATTGTTCAATAAAAAAAGTGTAGATGAAAAGATAATTATATTCAAATTTTATGTCTGGAAGTGCAATTTTCGGCCATCTAGAGGTGCCACAATCACAAAATGTTCTTACCTCAGCCCCAACAATGGTAGGGCTGAGGTAGTGTGGATCTTCTATCTGTGAAAGGCCCTTCTAATTCGAAGTAGGCCTACCCAGTGGCGGATTTAAGGGGACACAGCTACCCCCCCCCCCCCCACCTTCAAATTGTTCAATAAAAAAGTGTAGATAGGCCTATAAAGATAATTATATTCAAATTTATGTCTGAAAGTGCAATTTTCGGCCATCTAGAGGTGCCATAATCACAAAATGTTTTTACCTCATCCCCAACCATGGTGGCGCTGAGGTACATCTTCTATTTGTGAAAGTTCCCTACCTGGGCCCTTCTAATTCGAATTCCTGGATCCGCCACTGGAAATTACAACAAATATGAAGTCATATTACAGTACTTTGATGCCTATAAAATAACTTAAAAAATTCACCAAACTTCATAAAATATCAGAAGCTTCCAAAGTGCTTCGCCCCCCCCCCGCCTAGATGCTCGCTTCGCTCGCGTACTGGACCTTATGAAATGCTTCCTCCCCCCCCCCACTTTCAAAAACGTTCTGCCGCCCCGTTGGAAGTTACACTTCAATTTACGAGCTTTTTATGACAGAAACAATTTTAGAAAATACTTGAAGAGAAAACTTGTTAAAAATGTTAAATCAACAATCTCTTTTACAATAGAGTATACTGATATTTCTTCACTACAGTACTTTTATACAGTCATTTGCATTATGATGGACTGCATAGACGTAGATCCCGGGGGGGGGGGAGGATGGGGATATATCACCCCCCAATATTTGACAAGGGGGAATGGTCCATTGTATCATCCCCCCCCCAATATTTTGACTATGTATGGGATTAAATTGAGCTTTACACACTTCAAAAGACTGTCACAGAAATAATTTGCACTGTCTTATGCGCTTACAAAGATGAAAATTAGCATAATGTATTAATGTTGATAACAAAATTATTTTATCTGGTACCAATCTCCCTAAATGTGCAATTAATAGAGGAAATTGGTCTACCGTAACAAGAAATGCGCTCAAAGAATTTGAGAATTTTAGGCACTTTCAGGGGATGCATTTGTCAATGGGTGGGGAAAGATTTTCCGAAGATGAATATTTTCCCCTTATGTCCCCTGGTGTTTTTAATTCTAATTTCGTTGGAATTGATCAAAACTCCCTAAAATGTGAAATTTTTAGAGGAAATTGGCCCATGTTAACGAGAAATGCGCGCGCGCGAAATTTGAGGTTTTTAGGCACATCAGGGGATGGAAAGGGCATTTATAAAGGGGTGGGGAAGATTTGTCAAAGATAGATATTTTCCCCTTGTCCCCCAGTGGTTACGCCATCGGGCAGCATAGATCAAAGGAGTTATGACAGTTTTTGAAGTGGAGAAGGGGTTGCAGGTTGTTGTGAGTCTGGTCATTATGATATCTTCATTTTTATTCTTGTTTTTATTTTTCTCTTCTCTTTTTTTTTTCTTTCCTTTTCTTTTTTTCTTCATTCTCTTTTCTTCTTCTTTCTCTTTCTCTCCCTCTTTTCTCTTATTACCCAGACCGGTACGACGGCTTGTTCAGCCCGGTAAAAGCCGTCAGGGGAGGGGCAGTTTTCCCCCTGCC